ATATTTCTACACTGTTAATATGATGATAAATATAAACAACTGAATAAATAAAAACATTATGATCATTTGATTGTATCTTAATGTATAATATTGAACATAAAAGGAAAATACAATTAAATATGTTAAATATACATAAACTATATAATTATTGGAAAATATCCCTAAATACCAGTTTAGATATTATACATTTATTAATGATAAATGAAGCTTAGCTTTTTCTTTTGTGATATTTTCAAAATAATGTTTCTTTCATATTTTATTCAAAATTGAACATGTTTTATTTGGCCTTTCAATATTGTTTTTTTTAGTAGCTTTATTATCACCTTTAAGCAAAGGTGCTTTTTCAGGAAGGAACTGGACTTTTTTTGTTTTTTCTTTGAAGACATTTTGCTTCTCATCCAAGAAGCTTCTTTAGCTCTGACAGGATAGTGGAGAATGCAAAGATTTATATTCCTTCCAGATAGCTGGTCACTTGCATCGTTTTAGAGGGTCGTTGAAGCACTTGGAAGTTTCTCTGTGTCCTCAGGGTCTCTTGAGCAGTGCTCCTGGTTACTGTAGTCTGCAATTTTTCCACTGGAAATCCATTCCTACTCCCACATCATTCAAAGAGTGTTCATCCCAAATTGTATGGCTAAAAGTCTGTGGAGATTCTCAGTCATCCAGGTCATGGTAGTCCCAAAGGACCAAACATCCTTTGGGACAAACATGATCTGGAGGACTGAGAATCTCTACAGACTTTCACCTTTAAGCAAACTACACATAAATAATACAAAATACAAAGACACATGCACACACACACACACACACACACACACACACACACAGAGAAAGCTATCTTTTGCAGTAAATAGTGTTTACTGTAGTATACAAAAATCTTTTTTTCAAAAGGTAAATAAGTCAACAAATTAAGAAAGGGATATGTAAGACAAACATCTCAATAGAATACCTAAGTAATGAGTATATGAATTTATATAATTATGAATACCTCTCTTGTTAGAAAACTAGCTATTCATAAAATATATCTGTTCTTAAAGGAGAATTGAGTATGTTGGAAAATAATGGCAAAATAGATTATTAATAATATTATGGTTAATAATAATAGGGGTGGTAAAATATTTTAAACCCCAAATATTTCAAACTTGAGAAGTTTCATCTCAAGCTTGAAACAATTTTAAGTTCAAAACAGGCCATTTTTACTCTTCTAGAAGAGTTTGACACGGTTCTGACTATTCTAGAGGTCTTTCAAGCTTTAAATCATTCTGTAACATAGACAAAGCAGATGTACAAAATAGAAGTACATTTTTCACATATAAAACAGATTTTTTTTGTAATAAAAGCAGCACGATAAAAGAGCCAAGTTCTCCCCACGTTATTTTCATACACTAATCATGCTTTGATACTTGAAGCAGGCTGGGCTGAAAAGAAAAATGACTAATGATAAACATGAGTGGGAAAGATATAAAGATGTCCTTACTATCTCGTTCTTTGTTATAGTTTGTAATTTATTATAAAAAATGTAACGATCCACTGCATTAGAGCAAATAATTTTGGCATGAATGTAATGGACCTATTTGCCCTTCCACAGAGGCTTTTAGAGGAATTCAGCCAGTCTGACCTGACCTAATGTATACTGCCCAGATTAAATGTGATCTGAACATAGTTATACTCTGAATCACATACTTCTCCAAATTATTTGTTCCAAGAAAATATATGTATTGAATAGTTCAAATATAATGAGATGTCAATCTTTAGCTGCATTTGACTCTAGACTATTTAGCATGATATAGACATAATGTGAAAGTCTCCATCTAAGTGGTGTAATTAAGGTTAATGTATTTTTTTAACAAGGTTGTCTAGTAAGTCAGAATAGAATTGCATCTGTCATTTGCAATCCACATACTTCACTGTAATCTGCAGAAGTGGATTCTTAATAACTACCTCTAGATCTTTCCTCTTTATTCTTGCCATCTTAATGGAAAACACTGCATAAAAGAGATGTGAATTCCATTTGTACATCTGAAAACCGAATGTAATGGGACCAAATTTGGTGAGAGAAGCTGCCAAAAGAAACATCAAAGTAAAATGGGAACCAAATCTGGTTTGGGCCCGCAGAGTAAACATTCTAGAAAAAAGAATCCCCTAATGCCTCCTTTTGAGAGAAGCAGTTGGGCAGTGACTTGGAATGCTGCTGGTTAGTCCATACTAAATCCCCCTCTCTCCTCTCTTCTGCTCATGTAACCCAGAGCAAAACAGTGTATGGCTTGCCCTGTTTCCCTGTATATAGAGCACACATACAGTTGCAACAGAGGAAAGCAGAAACACACAACTCAAATGGACTAAAATATTACTTCAATACATAGAAAGGTAAGGAAACTGACTATGGCAACTGCTAAAAAATATTTTCTGGAGGAATTCAAGAAGTCAAGCTCTGGATGCTTTCTTTATTTTTCCCTTTCCAATCCAAAGGTATGCTATAAAGAAATTATTAAGGGAGCTTCACATTATCTCCTTCAGACTGGTTATCCATCTCTCCATCAGCAGGATAGCTTTCTGAAAACAACAGTTTGGAACTAAATCTAGACAGGGGAAGAAGATCAAGTATGAAAATTGTTGGATCCAACCAGAAAAGAAATCCAGAAATAACACCCATTATATTCTTATAGAAGAGGAAATTGGGAAACAGCTTAGAACACTCCTGATTCCTCCATTCTAAGCCCCGTTCTAATCATAGCACGCATGCATGCACTCATACAAAGAGGGGTAGGGACAGCAGAAACATAGACACACATATAGTGTATCACTTTGTTAACATGTTAACAAAAATACCTTCTAAAGTCACTTCTGTAAAGAGCTAAAAATATCAGAAGAATTCCATGCTTTCCCTATCCTAATTCATTATAAATAAATGAAAACAAACTTTATGGGTATCTCAGATCTGGGTTTCTGAGTTCAAAGAACTGCAGGAACTGCAACTTGCATCTTTCTGTAGTTTAATGAATAATAGAAACTAAGACCCAATTTGTTTGGTCCATAGTATTTTCAACAATCATGTAGATGTGAAAGTTGGAGAGTGAAGGAATCTTTGAATTATAGTATGATATTGTTTGGATGCTCTTAGGGTCTTGATGGAGCAAAACAGGCTCCAACTCATTCCTAGCAAGACTGTGTGTATTTGGACCCTCTGGAGACAAGGTTTTTCTATCTTTGGTTCTGGGTGGTATGCAATCTGAGGATCTTCCTAGAGTCATGGCTCCTGCTCAAAGAGCAGGTGGCAGCTATGGCTAGGAAAGTCCTTGCATATCTTAAGATGATGCTCCAGATGTACCCATTCCTGGACCAGGAAACCCTGCTCATAGTCATCCATGGCCTTGTATAAATTACTGCAATGCAATCTACATAGGGGTCCCCCTAAATAACATTCAGAAGCTTCAATTAATGCAGAATGTGTCTGCATGGATAGTAATTAATGCTGGCTATAGGGCACATGTAACACCACTACTTCCTGAGCTGCACTGGCTACCAGTTTGTTTTACACTGCTACCCTTTAAGGTGCTGATTGTCACTTTTACATGCCTTGGGAACGGATTACCCAAGGGACTGCTTTTTTCTCTCTGATTAGGTCAGCAGACTAGGCATGGTGCAGATTCCATCAGCCAAAACGTTAGCTGGCAGGGACAGGAAGCGGAGCCTTTTCTGCTATAATGCCTGCCCTGTGGAATACTGTATTTTCTCTTCAAAAATTACAATGGCCCCAAATTTCATAAGGCTTAAAAAACCTAACTGTGTACTGGACCTAGGGCTCCAGATGTATTAAAGGCCTTGTATCTTTGGTGCACTGCTAATTAGTTAGTTATTCTGGTTGCTGTATATTTAATTTTGGATTATTTTATTGTTTTTAAATGTTTTATTGTTTTAAAACTGTAAGCTATCCAGAGTCACCTGGTTGAGATAGGTGGCTATAGAAAATAAATAGATAGATAGATAGATAGATAGATAGATAGATAGATAGATAGATAGATAGATAGATAGATA